AGTCACCTCGGGGCTCTACCTTGAGGCTCCTTTCCTCAGTTCACTCCACAGGCCAGCAGCTGTGGTCCAGAGGCCCCTGGCAGCCCCAGCTGAAGGACCTTCCTGATCCCTCGCTGCTAACTACAGAATTGTCTCATTTATTCTTATTAAGTCCTCTAAGTGGTTTTCCCCTGCTGCGGAATAGCATTCTGTAACCAGAAAAGAGTCCCAAAGCAGCTCCTTTGTTCCAATCACATTCCAGGGAGCAGAAGATGGAATGCACTTGAGCCATCCATCCTGCAGGCCCAGCCTCCTCCCGGAATGGAGGTTCTGAGCTAAGATCATGTCAGCTGTCCTGCCACACCTCGATTTATTCCTCCACTTTCCCTACTCCCTATAAGAAAGGTCCCTGCTGCATCTGCTACGTCCCAGAGAGGGCATGCTTCCTGGCACCCTCAGCATTCCAGAAGCTTCACTGGCTCTGTTTATAGAGCCAACTGTTTTTCCTCGTCCTTTATTAGTCACTGGGATATCTGTGCTTTCCTTCCGTTCCCCAAATTGCACTGAGGGCCAGGCTCAACCTATAGGAGGACAACAGCATTTTGTGTTGCTATCCTACACTGACTGGTTAGACCAGCATCTTCTACTTTGCCATGGCCATATCATGGTTCTCTGCACATCATAATTTAGGCATCCTTTTGTTGTTATAAGACTTCATTAACCTAGGCTGAAGAATGCCATGTTTTAATGCTAGTTTCAACTTCTTGTCCCATTTTTTTAAAGTTTGTTATATTCTGCTATATATTATCATCTAGTCAAATATTTTAATTTTACAGACCCCCCCCTTGGAAATTTACTAGTTAAAAGTATCTAATTAAGATTGGCTGAGTGTTGGTGGCTCACATCTGTAATCCTAGCTACTCTGGAGGCTGAGATCTTGGAAGATCACGGTTCAGGGTTAGCCCAGCCAGAAAAGCCCATCAGATTCCATCTCCAAAAGTAACCAGCAAAAGTCTAGCTGGAAGCATAGCTCAACCCATTTCACTTGTCTAGCGCCACTCTGGAAAGTACAATGGGTACAAACTGGGTACAATTTGGGTATAAATTGGGTACAATTTGTACAATTATGTACAAAACCCAATACCACCAAAAAACAAAGCATTTACAATTAAAGGTTCCTTCAATTTGCTGCTGAACAGTTTTCACAGATAAAAATGTAGATCAAAATGACTGATTAATACAAATAGAACACTTAAAGAGTAAGGGATATGCAAATCCAAGAAATGTTAACACTAATTTCCTATTACTAAGAGTCAATAGCTACAATGTGATCTTTGAGTAACTACACACAAACAGGTACACCTCCTAGTACAGTGCTTGGTTTTGGGATGGAAACTCAAGTTTCCTTCCAGTAGAGGCGTTAAACAACTTGACAATATCAAACAAAGTAGTAAAGGACTTAGGGAAGACCAGAACCCATGTGTGCTTGAATTGAAGTCCACATAGGCTCCCCAAAATGCTTATGCTTTTTTCACTGTTCAATGAGGGCATTTGTTCATTTTCATTATTACTTTTTAAGTTGTTGTACAAAGGAGTTAAATGAGGTTTTAAGAAAAAAGACCTGACATTCTAATTAACATACAAATTGTATAATACATAAAGAAAAAAAAGCAAGGTGCCCAAACCAAGGAATATCATAGCTCATGTTTCCATGTACCCATTCTTTTTAGGGGGATGAGGGCAATATTGGGGTCTGAGCTCCGGGCCTGGCATTCGCTAGGCTGCAGTGATACAGAGGCCATGCTTCCAGAGGGGATTTTCATAGGTTATTTTTAGGATAGGGCCTTTCTTCCTGCCTGAGGTTGCCAGGGTCAGGATCTCCCACTACAGGCCTCCACCCAACCAGACCAGTCCTCATACGGCATCACATCAAGCTTCCTTTCTATGAAGGAGTCTCACAGACTTTTCTGTCTGGGCCAGCCTGGAACCATCGTCCTCCCACTCTCAGCCTCCCATGTGTTTGGGATGTCAAGGGAATGAAGGCTACTGAGCCTAGCAATGGGTTGAGATGCCTCACGACTTTTCTGCCTGGGCTGGCCTCAATCCATGATACTCCTATTCTAAGTCTCCCAAGTAGGTAGGTAGGATTACAGGTGTGAATCATTGAGTCCAACTGGGTTGTTTTTTGTTGTTGTTGTTGTTTTTTGAGACAGGCTCTTACTATGTAGTCAAGACTGATGTGGAACTCACCATGTGGCCCAGGCTGACCTTACTCACAATCCAGCCTCAGCCCCACAAATTCTGAGATCACAGGTGTGTACCACCAGCCTTCCATTTATATCCATGCAACAACAGTTAAGCCATGAGGCTTAACTATATGAGATGTACCACTATCTCATGCAAAGACTAGCAAGCATGGGTATTTGGTTTCCAAGCCTAGAACAGATGAGAAACAGCATAAGAAGAATTATCAAATGTCAAGAAGAGACAGATGGGTGACAAAAATAAATAAGGAGAGGGGCAGACAAAAGTGACTTGTGGTAGAAACATCTACATTCCTCACTGAACTAAGACATTGCTTGTAGAGGTGAAACTAGACTATTCCAACTTTCTTGAGTGACCTTGAGTGACCACACCCCCTCTGAGCTTCTGTGCCCTCCTCAGTCCAGGGCTTTGGGTAATCCTAGCTAACTGGTTAAGATCAAAAGACTTCCTATGAAAGGGTACTGTATGAAAAGACCACATAAACGAGAGGGGTTATTAAAAAGAAATAGGTTTAATGCATAAAGGGATAACCCCACAGCCTTTATAACTAACTTTCCTAAGGTTCTGAAAAGCAAGGTTTTGCTGTTTGAAACATTTGTAATTATAGTGATCTAGCCCCAGTCTATGAATTTCTTTGGGTTTGCTCAACTAGAATTAAGAAAAGGGCAGGGGCTGGCTACATTAGTCAGCAAAAAGAAAACCAGCTTGGTTCTTAACATCCAGGAAAAGCCTGTGGACTACTTGAAGGACAGCCAAAGTTATCAGTAGCTCATTTACAATGCAAAGGTAAAGAGAGCAGGCAGAGCTCACCCGCCAAGAATCACAGGCGGAGTTGTAATTAAAGTGCAGGATCCAGGCCAGAGCAAGGCGTCCAACAGTTCCAGCTCTCTGATCAGCTTCAGGCCCCCTAAAACTTGATTTGTAAACCATGGAAGGAAGCAAGGAGCAATATTTTCCAACAAAGTTTTCGGTTGGAGATGTTTATTCTCAAATGGTACACAACAAACCTCTCACCTTTCTGTCTCTTCCAAGAAAAAAATTATGAAACCGTTTTAAAATATGAGCGAAAACCGGGTGTCTATGGCTCCTGTCCATAATCCTTACTCAGGAGGCAGAGTTCTGAGGATCGCGGTTCAAAGCCCGCCTGGACAGGAAAGTCCTGAAACTATCATCTCCCATTAATCACCAAAAAGCTGGAAGTGGAACTTGTGGTTCAAGTGGTAGAAACTAGCCTTGAAAACAAAAAACGAAAACAAAAACCTCAGGGAGAGTGCCCAGCCCCTAAGTCCAAGCCCCAGGTCCATCACAAAACAAAAAAACAACACAGGAAAAGGAGATGGCCTGGAAAGGTGAAAATCCTAACGATTTCAGATTAGATGCTCAGACTAAAACCAACTCCCATCTCCAGGCCGGTTCAAAATACACTGAACCACACAGGAGGCGAAGGAGGCCAGGAGGACCCAACAGCGGGCAGGCGGGCCAGGAGCGCCCCGCACATTTTGCCCGGGTTGGCGCGGAGGGCATCGGCTTCCCACCGCGGACACCCGCAGCCCCCGGCTGCGGCGGCGGCGGGGTGGGGTGGAGGGGATGTCAGAGGCCTGACCAGGCCGGGTGCCTTCTCCCCGCGGTGGGCCGTCCGGGCGGAGGCTCCCCGGAGGTTAACGGGAACGAAACCCCCGACGGCCCTCCTTTGTGGCGCCCGGGCCCGAGCCGCAGCCAGGAGACAATGAGCGGCCTGTGCGCGGTTCCACGCCGATTGGCTGGTCCCCCCCCCCCTCCCCGAACCCCTTGATGTCATGGGCTTGGAATGCAGGCCCGGAGGAAGGAAGGAAGGAAGGAGAGGATGGGGGGGGGGGACGCCCCTCATCTCTTTCGCAGGCAGGCCAAAAAGTTACAAAGATCAACCCGACTATGCGTTCTTAGTTTTGGGGGGGTCAGGCTGACCGTCACCAAAACCCCAACCGCCCCGGGCCAACAAACCCCGCACAGAAGTAAGTCACAAAGACTGCGGCGCGGTGACAGCCTCCAGCCTCAAACTTCTCCGGGTTTTATTTTTTAAGTGGTCCCCGATCCGCAGCGGACTCCGCTCGCCAAGAGCGCGCGCGCCCTGCGCTCCGGCTTTGTCTCGGGAGAAATCTACCCACGGCTCCGCGGACCCGGTCCGTTCCTGCGGGGCGTCCTCGGGGTCGGCGGGACCCCCCGCCCCGGCCAGGATCCCTCCCCGCCTCCCCTCCCACCCGGGACGAAGACAATAGAGGCCCAAGCCGGCCACGTCGCCGCCGCATTTCGCCCCCGGCGGCGGAGGGGGCGCCGGTGGAAGGGGGGGCGCGGGGGGGGGCGTCCCACCGCAGCCCGGGCCCCGCGCACGGGAGCGGGAGAGACGGCTGCTCGCGGGGACCCCGGTGCGACGCCGAGTCCCGACTAAGGGCGAGGACCGCGCAGCAGCGCCCCCTTCCCGGAGGGGTGCTCGTCCCGCCGCCGCCCCCCTCTCCCTCTCCTCCTCCCCAAGCCCGGAGGGGCCGGCGAGGCGGGATTCCGGGCGTCCGGGGAGCCTCCTGCCCGCCGCGAGTCCCGGTCCGCGACGCGGGAACAAAGCCAGGACCGCGGCCGGGGTCGGGGACCCCGGGGTCCCCTCGGCGTCCCCACCCCGCCGACCCCCGGCGTCGGGCGCCCCCCGCCCCTCGCCGTCTACCCCGACGTCTCGCGGGGTCTCCCGGCCCCGGCGGCGTCTCGCGGGGTCCCCCGGGCCGGCGTACCTTGTTCTTGACCTCGGCCGAGAGCCCGTAGGAGGGGCCCTTGTTGAAGTGGGTCATGGTGCCCGGAGGAGGCTGCGCTGGGGTGCGGGAGTCCCTGGCACTCGGTGTCCCCGCTCCTGGCCCCGAGGGGTGGCGGCGCGGGAGAGGTTCGGAGCTGGGTCCCCCGCGCGGGGCAGAAGCAGCCGGGACGCGAAGGAGAGGCGGTGCCTCGGCCACTCGGTGCTCGGGGTCCCGCGGAGGCTCGGGTCCGCTCCGAACAGACGCGCTGGCTGCCGCGCCCGCCCCGCGCTCCGCACGCAGGGCCCCCCGCCCGGTCCCCCGGGCCTTCGGGGATTGGCTGGCCGGCCCGACCAATGGAGAGCCGCCTCCTCCGCCCCTCCCCGCCCCTCGCGGGTCCCGCGCCAGGAGCCCCGCCCCCTGGAGGCCCCTCCCCTCCCTTGGTAGCCCCGCCCCTCCGCGCCCGGGGCGTCCTCCACGTCCATCGGAGGGCTGGGGCGCGGAGGATGCAGACCGGCCTCGGGGGGCGCCCAGCGGGGTCTGCGCACCCCGAGGAGAGCGATGCTCCCGACCCGCCGCGGGAGCCGACTGGGTCCCCAGTGCCCGCCCAAGGGAGACCCCGCCAGAGCCCGCACCGCCCACCCCCCGTCCCCGCCGCGCAGCCGCCCACACCGGAGGGTCTGACCTCCACCTCCGGGTCGACCCGGACGGGAAGATCCCGGGCCGACTGACGCCTGGACGCTGTGCGGGGTAAACGGGGACGTGCGGGGCCCGTGGGGGGCCCGTGCCGTGTCTGCTGGGCAGCTGCTTGCTTCCAGCATCTTCGCCCCCAGGCAGCTGGCCCCACGGTCGGGTCGTCCGTGGCTCTGCCTTGTGATTATCGTGATCTCTAAGTAGCTGCACCGAGGCCTTTCAATGAATGAGTACCCTGCGTTTCGATCGCTCACCGGTTCCAAATCCCGACCCCACCCGTCCCCTCAAGTGACCTGGTTCTTCTTTGGTTTTTAATCAAGGGTCCTCATGGAATGAGAAATAGTTTGTGTGGAAAGTTTCCTATAAAGCAGAAGTTTTCCTAAAACTTCTCGTCTTTTATGGTCCTTTTGCTTCTGTCTCTTTGCATTCTGACCTGAAAGTCCAACTGCTATCCAAGAAGGAAAAGATAGAACTTCCTCACCAGGCCTCTGAGCTTGGGGTGGCTCAGGAGGCCAAGATCTGAGGATCGCGGTTCAAAGCCAACCCTGGGCAAGAAAGTCCCTGAGACTCTTATCTCCAAGTCGACCAGGAAGCCGGAGGGGAAGCTGTGGCTCAACATGGTAATGCGTTAGCCTTGAGCAGAAAAGCTGAGCGACAGCACCCACAGCTCTGAGTTCAAGTCTCAGAACTGACAACAACCACAAAAAAACCACTCTAGCCATACTTTGACATCCCTTCCAGAGATGAATGAGCTGTAACTCAGACTCCTGCTATCCTGGCTGGAATTCACCTCCAGAACTTCACCTCTGGCCTTTTTGGTTGGAGAGCAGGTTTCAGTCCTCTGAATCCTACTGTTTGCCAAACACAAGCTAAAATACCAAAGGAGATCACAGAACAAGGCGTGGCAACCTGCTTGAAAAGAGGAGCCCGAGTATCTCCCCAAGTGGAAACCTTCTGGAATTACAAATAAGGCAGCTTGAAAAGGAACCCCACAAAGCTGCTCTTAACTTGGGGAGACTTTTGGAGAGAAGGATCATGAGGGAAAAGTGAAATGATTTATTTTTTGTGGGGTGTCCGGTTGTGGGGCATGAACTCTGGGCCTGGGCACTGTCCCTCCTCAGCTCCTCAGCTCAAGGCAAGGGCTCTACCACTTGAGCCACAGCGCCACTTCTGGCCTTTTTTTTTTTGCTTATATGGTGCTGAGGAATCAAACCCAGGGTCTCATGTATGCAAGGCAAGCGCTCTACCACTGAGCCACCTTCCCAGCCCAGTGAAATGATTTATAAATGATTTGCCGATTGACTCTTAACTCTTACCATAGGATAATTAGGGCATTCCTCCCACACTCACAGATAACACAACTGACCCACTATTTGTGGGACAAGCAGTTTGGGCTGTTTTTCCAGTGTGACAGGACCATGTGTCATTCACATACCTCACCCACTTTTCATCAGGACCAATATGTGAGAAAGGGGTAGCAAATTTGAGGTAGAAATCACAAGGACAGCCTTAACTGCATGTTATGCCAGCAGTCCAGGCCTAAAGACTTCCGGTCTGCTGCTGAGGCCATGAACACTGAGGTCAAAATTATTTTAATCTGATTAAGCATCTTCTTTGGAGAATTTAAAGAATTATATTCATGAAAACAATGAGCTTTATTGTGTATCAGGAGCTGTTGTTTTAAGGACTACAGCTTCAGTTTGGGATCCTCAAAAAGTTCTGAAAGTGGATAGTGGAAAGGGCCACACAACCATGGAAATATCCTTAATAAAGCTGTCTACCTCTGTGGCTTTATCTTTTTTTCTTTTTCTTTTTTTTATAGTCAGTCATGAGGCCTGAACTTTGGACCTGGGCTCTGTGCCTCAACTCTTCAGTTCAAGGCTAGTACTCTACCACTTAAGCCACAGCGCCTCTTCCGGCCTTTTCTGTTTATGTAGTACTGAGGAATCAAACCCAGGGCCTCATGCATGTGAGGCAAGCACTCTTGTTGTGAGTAATGTGAATTTTTTTATTCATTTTCCCCCATAACACTGCCCAACGTCTGCTAAAGACAGACTACCTTTCAACAAATCCCAAATTTTCACTTGATGGCTTCACAGTCACTAAAGATGAAGAAATGCTCTGTCTGTGTTGGAGCCAGGGAATGCTTAGGAGAATGGGGGGTGGGGGGGCGGGGAGAAGGCTGTCATTCAATGGGTACTGAATCTCAATTTTACAAGCTGAAGAGTTGAATGGATGGATGGTGTGGGAAGCACACCAATGTGACTGTGCTTGATGCCACCTGCTTGCACACGTTTACGTCATTAAGTTGGCAATTTGATGTGTAGTTTGCCATAATTAAGAAAAATTAGGCTGAGGGTGTAGCTCAGTGGTAAAATGCTTTCCCTAATAAGCATAAACCCTTAGTGCTAAAAAACAAAAACAAAACAACCCTCTAAATGGATGCCTATAACTTCTCTAAACACACATTTGCCTGTGGTATCCATCCTGAACAGAAGTCTAATGCTTCTTTATTTGGCCACCATGATAAATCTAAACTGTTCAGCTGTCCAGCACAGGGACTTTAAAAATCATGTATGCAAAGTGCTTAATGACGTAGGTCTGCTCACTGCCCAGGGTAAGCACGCAATAATTGGAGGTCATTACCATTATTATTACAGAGTATTATCGGCCTCTCGCTCTCTCTCCAGTCTTGTCTTCTGTCACTTCCAACTGCTTGCTTCAATTCTAGAAAGAGCCCCGAGCAGCCATACTATGCTGGTTCACCTCAGGCCTCAACATGGGTGGTTTACTCTGCTTCTGTTACATTTAGCCTTCAAAATCCAACTCAAGTCAGGTTCTAATGGCTCACACCTGTAATCCTAGTTACTTAAGAGGTAAAATCTAAGGATCTCCATTAGAAGCCAGCCTGGGCAGAAAAGTCCATGAGACTCTTATCTCCAATTAACCAGGAAAAAGCCAGACGTGAAGGTAGAGCTCAACTGGAAGAGTACCAGCCTTGAGCAAATAGCCAAGTGAGAGTACAAAACCCTGAATCCAAGCCCCAGTACTGTCACACATGTGTGTACACATGCACGCACACATACACATCGGCTTTCTCCAGAAGCTGACATTTCTCTCAGACAAGGTTTTCATCATAGGAAAGGTTGCATCCTTTCCTACGGGCCCTTTCTTCTTTTCAAATATTTCTATGGTTGCTCCTGGCCCAGGGTCCCATAGTTTATCAGTTTGCATAAACATAAGGACACCCACATGTATGCACATGTGTATGCACACATACACCCATGCACACACAAGGTCTAACTACTACACAGTCCAGGCTGGCCTAAAATTCAAGGCCCTTAGACCTTGGCCTCCTGAGTGCTAGCATTACAAGCATACATCATTCTGACCAGCCTCTCCTTCCCTTCCTCCCATTTCATTTCTTCTCCTCTCTTACCTTTCCTGCCTACCTAGCTTCTCCTCTCCTGTCTTGTCCTTCCTCTCCTCTTTTCTCTCTCCTTTTACTTTTGTCTTGACTTATTTTCTCTTTGAAGCAACTGTGAATTATACACACACACACACACACACACACACACACACACACACAGAGCACTTTTATCTATTGTCACTTAAGATATTACCAGTTGGCATTAGCAATGAAACATAATGAGCCCAGAGGATACTCTGAGGGGAAGCCCCCAAGGCACAATGCCTCTGATCATATAAAATAATACTTATCGAGGGCTGGGAAGGTGGCTCAGTGGTAGAGCGCTCGCCTTGCATGCATGAGGCCCTGGTTTTGATTCCTCAGCACCACGTAAGCAAAAAGAAAAAAGCCGGAAGTGGCGCTGAGGCTCAAGTGGTAGAGCACTAGCCTTAAGCTGAAGAGCTGAGGGACAGCGCCCATGCCCAGAGTTCAGGCCCCATGACCGGACCCCCCCACCCAAAATAATAATAGTTATCAAAAATTTTAAAAGCACAGAAAAACATAATGCTTGAGCAGCTACCCCCTTTGCTTGAGCAGCCTGGAGAGCAAGTATAGCAAGAGCAGAGAGGCCCCCATCAGAGCTATCATCACAGGACTTTGATGCGAGTGTGTGTATGTACAAACACATGTGCACACCTGTGTGTCCTTTTATACATTTTTCGGCAGTCTATTCCACTGCTATTATTGATGGAAAGGAGGACCAAAAAACTTTGAGTCCTGCTGCCTTTTACCTCTATCAAATACAGTTGCTCAATTCTAACTTCTATAAAATACATGTTCCTGATTTTGATAAAGGGCATAGCTAGCTGGAAAGCTTCTGTTGTAAGGAGTTGGATGAACTAATTTGCAGAATCTTAGCTAAGCAAGCTTTTTGAAGTCCAGAATGAGTCACATTCCAATCTTCTTTGTGGCTTATCGAAAATGTCAGATAACTTGATTTAAGATGGTATCAGAGTACTAATGCACTTTAATTACTTTGTAAAGCTGTTTACTCTGAATAAAAAGGGCCTGAGTTCCCTAATGAAATGTCACTCCTTGGGCTTTGTCCTGACAAAGGAGAGCGGGGCCAGCTTTTACTCGAAGTTGCTCAGCACTTGTTTCTTAAAAGAAATGTTTGGTTC